ATCTGCTGGAGGGCCAGTTCGCTTATTGGGGAGGACGTGCCGAAGGGCTATTTCGCGTAGCCTGAGGACAAAGAAGGAGGACCTGCTGGAGGGCCAATTCGCTGGGGACAAAGAAGTATTCTGGGGACAACCCACAGGGCGAGAACGCTTATCCAGGGGAGAAAGAAGGAGGACAATACGGACGGCTAGATTGCAACAGGACTTCGTAACGGGCTAGTTTGCTTCTGGAAGCCGCCTGGTCGCAGAACACAAGTCTGGCGTGACCCAAGTCTGCAGTGGCTCGCGGCTGCAGTGAATTTCGGGTGACCTAGTCTTGACCAATTTTGCGTTGTTGAATTGTGAGTATGAAATTAGTACACCCAATGGGCAGAGAAGAATCAGTTTTTGAATTGGACACATCGTTGTCATCGTCGCGGCAAAGAACGACAACTTCCCGAAGGGCGAGAACACTTATCCACGGGAGAAAGAAGGACGACTATGCGGAGGGCTAGATCACAACAGGACTTCATAACGGGCTAGTTTGCTTCTGGAAGCCGCTCGACCGCAGAACACAAGTCTGGGGTGACCCAAGTCTGCAGTGACTCACGGCTGGAGTGACTCAATCCTGGGGCGACTCAGGTCTGGCACACCCAGTCCTGAGGTGACCCAGCTCTTGGGGTGATCCAGTCTTGGGGTGATGCAGACTTGGGGTGACCCAGTCTTGAGCAGATTTTGTTTTTTTTGTTGCGAGTATTTGTACACCCAACGGGCAAAAACACTAACCATTTTTTCGACTTGGACACAATGCGGTCATCGTCGCGGCAAACAACGACGACTTCCCGCAAGGCGAGAACGTTTATCCAGGGAGAAAGAAGGAGGACTATGCCTATGCGGAGGGCTAGATCACAGCAGGACTTCACAACGGGCTAGTTTGCTGGCTTCCGGAAGCCACCTGGCCGCAGAACACAAGTCTCGGCAAACCAGTCTTGAGTAGATTTCGCCTTGTTGTGTTGCCTGTGTCCGAACCGCAACAGCACAATATGTGTTTTGCATTGGACACATTGCTGTCATCGTCGCGGCAAATCCAGGGGAGAAAGAAGGAGGACCGCGCGACGGGCTGTTTACGGTTAGTTTGCTGGCATAGCGGAAGCTCCATGCAAGAAGCATTTTTTGCTTTAAATTTACTATACACCGACTGTACACTGGCAATTCACTACGCGAGCTTTGAAGGTTCTGAGGATAGCATGCATGAGCCGCAGCATTGGGCATCCATATCGGCCCATTAAGTCAAAGACATCCTTCCGCAGCCTTTTGGAGCTTCAAGCTGTGAGAGTATATCTCATCAATTCGACATCTCTCGTATGCTGAGCGCGGCCCTTACGCGCAACAGCGCCTCTGCACCCAGTTCTTGCAAGAAAATTCGCATGGTGCTCGACAAGTGCGTGCCTTCAGGCAGTATGCCGTCCTCCCGTCGCTGGGCTGATATTACCGACGACGACGACAGCGAGGAGGCATCTGTATTTAGTAGGCGACGTAACACGCCTGACACTCTTGTTCCTGGCATGTGCTGTCAGGTCTACGTGTGGGATTGGGAGGCATTCAAACGCGAGTATCTCGCAACACACTGTCGGTTGACTTTAATGACCCCGGTCTGCGCCTCGGTATGTCTGCTTGCCACTTGCGACTGGGCACCGCGCGCGGCGCCGCTGGCTCCCGAGGCAGGCGCGATCGTTATCGACGAGGCACGAGCAACAGTAAACGCAAACAGATAAAGCGTAAAAAGCTTGTGCCATCTGCGTTCACAAGGACTGGAAGAGGCAGCCGCACGCGTCTGTAACAAAGCCGGTCGTGCCCGCAAGACCGGACGCAAGTCGGCGAAAGAAGGCGCTCTCGCCAAGTCTTCTGCTCGTCACATGTCGCCTCCGAGTGTTCCAATTCGCAAAACATGCCGACTACAGGCCAAGGTGCCAACGCCGCAGAAGCACCCGCAGCCCGGCGTGAGCAGCGAGGAGGACGAGGTCCTGAACGCTGCCTTCCAACGGGCAGAGGTGCAAGTGCCAGTGCCCGGCGCAAGCTTTGGGAAGCCACGCTGAACCATAGGATGAGCGAGCATGGTTGGCGACGCGCGGCCTGCTGGCAGCAACAACTGCAGCTTCAGTCGATCGGCCGCCGCCCCCGAGGTGTTTTGATGGTTCTGGTACAGGGGGAATTACAAGCTTAATATTGGGCCGCCCCGAATACGCCAGCTGCCAGGACCTGGTCTCGAACTACTACAAGAGCCGGACTTCGTGGGAGCATGATCTCCGACGAGGCTCGTTCAGCCTTCGGCCGCACAAAATGCGGAAGCTTTTCGTGCTGACAATCACTGGCTCGAACGACGCATGCGCCGACAGGACGCGTGCCTCGTCACACGCCTGCTGCTCTGCCGGGGCCCTGTTGATGCTCGGGACTCAGATTGGAGCACTTCTTGGCAGTGTGGGGCACGGGGCACAACTATAAATACATTTGTCAGGACTCAAAGCATTGCGGTGCCTGGCCCACCAACGGCTTGTGCTTGCCCTGCTCCACATCGACCATGGGCAGAGGACAAAGGCTCATGCTCCAGCGCGCCGCCGGCCCAGATGCTAACTCCAAAGTTGAAAGTGGCGATGGCCAGCGTGCAGACCAAGCAAGCCTATTTTAAACAAAAAATCCGTATACTTCTGCCGACTCAACTCGGTTCGAGCTCCGAGGCCCTCTGCGGCACACCGTCCGCGCTGTGGAGCATGGGTCGCAAGCAGCGGAACAAGATGCAGCACGTCAGAGTCTGATTCATTCTGAGAATTGGGCAATCGACTTGTCTTTGCACTGTGACTGCTCACACCGAGGCGCTCTGCGGCAACACGGCCTCAGCCTCCAGCTCCTCGAGATCGGGACGGAACAACCCCGGAGAGTGCCCCGGAAATTTCCGGCTGGTGAAGATGCCCCCAGACGGGAATTGTTTGTTCCACGCTCTGTCCCGCGACAGCGGCGAGGACACTTCAGCCCTGAGGAACGAGGTGGCCGACTTCTTGGAGGAGCAAGCCGCGCAACAGCAAGACTGCTGGGGAGGAGACGTCTCCGTGCTCGCATGGTCGCTGCTGCGAGAGCGCCGCGCGCAAGTTCATTGGCGTGATTATGAGCAAGACTATTTCCGCTTCGATGAGCGAACCCACTGGCAGGTGCTGGACAACATGGCTGATCCTGACAAGCATCCCGTCCTGCATCTCTTGTACAACGGCATTGATCATTACGACTTGCTGTTGCCTGACTCGGGCACGGACCCCGTGGATCCGGAGAGACCAGCAGCGCGACCCACAGCGCACGCTGCC